GGCAAAGTTAGCTGAGCTGCAGTTTTTGAGAATGAAAGGAAAGGAAAAACCGAAACCCAACTCCACGAGGGTCTGCCTGTCTGCTATTGTGGATATTTTTATCTGCTGCGCGTCTAAGGCGGAGACACAGTGGGAAATACGAACCAGCCAACCCAAGCTGACAGTGAGGAGTCAGACTGTCAAGAGGTCTGCTTCCCCCCCCAACCACCCCCGCCCCCCTGCTACAACACCCAAATGGATTGTCATATCAGATTTAGGTGTATAGGTTATTACACCCTTGGGCTCCTATTTCCAACACACCCGTCTGCATGGCGGGATTGAGTTTGAGGACTCTCTCTTCTTGCTCTCTTTCCTTGGTTCTCCAAGTTCCTGATTTCTTTGATAAAACATAAGAAAGCTCCGGAAACTCCTGTGACAAAGTGATGGGATAATATTTGGACTATGTGTCCTGTTCCAGCTCCTCCTTCGTCAGTACACAACTGTGGCTTTGCAGTTGCAACACAAATAATATCTAAATACTGGCTATAAAAACACGTGCCTTGTAGGCACAAGGGTCTGTCTAGGAACATCTTATCAGAATGATTTACACCCCAGAAGTGAGTGTGACTCAGCAAGCTGTCATGTCTTTGGCCCTCATTTACAGGAGAAATCATGCAGAGAAAAAACAGGATTTATCGACAAAACTGGGAATGGTTTTACACTCACACTTGCATAGTTTAAGTTTAGTTGTGTCAATTTGCTCAATCTTTCTTTGAGTTTGTCTCTGAAAGTGACGCATTCAAGCGAGGACAAACCAATACATGACTTTGCTTCTGCTCCTTTTATTCAAAACTGTAACACAGACCAAATTCTGTACAAAGACACTCTTGCAATTTCAGTAAGTAGCTTAGTGGCGCCACTCTCCTTGTTAGTATGTACTATATGTTGTTTGATTGACATACTGTCGAATTTATCTAATTGTTATCAGCTTGACTTTGTTTCTGTCTCGAGGGAGTATTTTCTACTCAAGTACTGTACTTAGGTACAGTTTTGAGGTACTCCAGTATTTCCATTTTATGATACTTTAAACTTCTACTTAACTACATTTCAGAGGGAAATGTAGGTAGTTACTTTTTAGATTAATGTTTTACATTTTAAAAACATAAACTATACAAGATACACAATGTTATACAAAATAAATATCAGAGAAAGGTAAAAAACAAACACAAAAACAACAACTTGTTTTTTAAGATTTTTTTTCCCCTCTGTCATCTTCCATTAATCTTCTCATGCACCCTCAGATTTATGTTGTGACCCTTTGAAGAGGTCTGACCCCTCAGTTGTCCGTCCGTTTGGTGTTTTGCCTTGCTGTATTTGCATTTTTTTTTGACGTTGTGTCCACAATTTTCATATCTTCCTCTGGGATTTGTGCTGCTACGGTCTAGCACCTGGTTACTAACTTTTTATAAAGTCTCGACCTCAACTACACGTGTGCACAGAAACGTCCCGAACACAGCAAAATAAGAAGGAAATAAGGACGCATTCACACTGGCACCATTTGGTCCGCTTTAAACCCTGGTCCACTGTCACGGATAGTTCGGTTTGTTTGGAGTGGTGCGAACGCTGGAAAGCCTGGTCTGCTTGAAACTGGGGGTCTCGGTTCACTTGCAAGTGAACCCTGGTGCGGTATGTTTACAGTGGGAAATGCAAACAGACTATCCAGCGAACCAAAGAGAGGAAGTAAACCAAAGAGAGGAATTGACATAGAGGACAGTGTATTTTGGGTAGAAAAAAAACAAAGCCAACAGCGCGACCCTCTCGCTGCCTCACCTGCTGCTCAGACTGGGCAGCTTCTTGTGAAAATACAATTAGGTTTGAACACCAAAGTAAAAACAGAAACCCCAAGACTGTATAAATTTGGCGTTGCTCCATTGTTTTTGTTGTGATCAAGCCGGCTGAAGGGGATGGATTTCCGTTTTCGGTCCTGGCCAATCAGTAAGCCAGGTTTTCTTCTTCCTCATGCTTTTTTTCTTCTTGGTCAGTGGTCATTTCGGGTAATACAGCCCCCAAACGAGCAGCTGTTATAACTGTGTGACGTGATCATGTGATCATTGCAAGGAATTACTCACTGCAAAAATAAAATTGTTCTTACATAGACAATGTCAATATCATAATGTGATAACAATATACTAGTTCTTTTGCTTTTGATATTTTAAGTAGACTGTACTGTTAATACTTTTGTACTTTCACTTCAGTAGTATGTTGAATACATGGCTTTAACTAGTTACACTTTACTCAAGTAAATGGTGTCAACACTACTTCCACATTCACATACATACACCTGGCAAAGGATCCACACTATTCCACTGATCAACAGGTGGCGGTAACACGCCAAGATATGCAGCAATGCTCCAACAAAGGTAGGGAAGAAGAAGTCTGCAGGCTAAACATGGATGTTCACAATTCTGGATTCAAATTATGTAAAAATATTGGCTTTGTAAATGTTTTATGGGGAAGGAAATGCATTCAACATGGAGCGAAAGAAAACTCCGCAGGGCGCCTTTAATATTTTATACGCAACTGTAACTTTTTTCCTAACATCAAACAGTTGAATGTTAAATATCTGTGACTAACACTGGACTGACACAGGGTGTTGGATTTGCACATCATTCTATGCAATGAAATGAAAATGAAAAGAGAGCCAGAGAGCGGCTGGCTTTACACATCTGGTGCACTCAGCTGGGCTCAAAAGGGCTTTTCTCCCGGTATACTTGCAATTTGTGTATCCCCTTTGAAGGAAAGACACCAGAGTGCTTTCAAATCTGTGGGCTCTGTTCTGAATGATTAAAGGTGGAGTCTACGATTCTAATCCAATACACTTTTTCTCAGATTCAGCGACCATCTCCTTACAATCTGCTTGTTGTCTGCTCTGTGTGCAGATAGTGGGAGCAGGGACGATGAAACAGAAGTCCCTTTTACACTGCCAGATTTTTCGCGAATGTTGGGCCGTTGATCCGAGGTACCAAATTTTCCGCCTCGTAGGGTAGTCATATTAGCGGAACCCTTTTAGTTTAAACAGACCGAGGTGGCCTTCTGCAACGGGAGGGGCTGTTGAAGACTTGTGGGAGGAGCTGTTGATGACGCCGCACGTGCGACCCACTGGCGGTGGATAAACAGGAAACAGCTGATAATAGGAATTAGTGAGCAGCTCATAGCAAGAGGGAAACGCAAACCTGACAGACAGTGTAAAGATGAGCAACTGGGGAGACAAGGCATTGCGCGCCCTTCTTGCCCTCGCAAACAAAGAGGTCATTAAAAGTCAGATTACGGGATCGGTGAAGAACGGGCCAATTTACGAGAGAATCGCCGGAGGACTGACCAGCCGCGGCTTCCCTCCCACGTCACTGTTTACGTCACACGCTGAGCTACACGTTTTGTTACTTGCTCACGCCCCCCTTTGCCCCGAAAAAGGCACATTCTGTATAAACAAAAGTAGGTAGGCGGCATTTTGCTGCACTCCCTGATGTTGTTTTTATACTGCCAATGCTGAAAAAAGACTGATTGGGCTTTCCTGCAAATTTGCACAATTCCTATCTATACAGGGCTAGATCGTCTGAAGGAGCACTGCCTGGAGGAGCGCATTTGTTTGGGTGTTAAGCTCAAATATCAACAATATTTCTCCATAATTGCAGACTCAACCTTTAAATGCTTCACCAGTCTAGTGAGAGCATACATATCCAAGCTAAGGAAACAATAATCTCTAAGGACACAACAAGAGGATAGCGGTTTAAAATCTAAAATCAGGAGAGTCCTTGACTCCATTATATTTCAGATACTGTCTATGAGGGCTGGTGTTGAATGGTAAAGTTTGTTGTGATAGAAATAAAGCATGATTTATAAGGTAAAATAGCTCATCATTTTTTGTTAGATGTATACAACAATAGCTGTTTTTGAATATGTTGCTGATATGTAGGGTTGCAACAATATGAGATTTCCACAGTACAATAACCATCCCAGAAAATTTTGTGGTTTCATGGTATCACAGTATTACAGAATTTATGTTATAATCAGTCAGAATGACCGTCACATGAAAATGGAAATGTTATTATTGGTTGAATATCATAGATAAACAAGTACACGATGTGATAAACACCAACTTTTATATTACAGTATACCTTGAAACCAGTATGCCTACAACCCCACTGACATGATGCTGTGAGGAAACAAATGCCAGGATCTAAGATGTGCTAAAACCTAGAGTGAGCACGTAGACTCATTTTTTAATGGTTATCACAAAAACAATACATCTGACACCTATCATAAGAGACACCAATCACTGACAATGGCAGTGCTGCTTGACTGAAAAAATGTATTGATATATTGACTAAAATCAACTGTTGTTTACCCACATGCCTATGGAATGATGAAAGGTGATACTTTAATTGCATCTGCCTTTGGGATCAAGTGTGTTTATGTTTGTGTTTGGGTCTTACAAGACACAACATAAATATCAGCTCACTATGATAGGGGTGCTGTGCTGCACACAATCTGCTGGGTTACATTCCTAAATTTGACTTGGCTGATCAATGATTTGTTTGCAATCACGAGTGCAAAATTCTCATAAGCAAAAATAATAATTGCATAAGAGGCACAATCTAGAGTCAGCTCTGGTAAAAATGGAACATTGCACTCATGAATTTTGATATGAAGTTTTATGTCCTGTTTGTCCTTGTTATACTTGCCAATGGTTTTATTCCTCAGGCAATCACAAGACAGTCTCCCTCTAGGTTAAGAAGAAATATTAACTAAGAGGAAAGGTAGCTGGTGTATTAAAATCATGCCGAAATAAAGTGATTCAAACGATAATCTGAAACCTCTTTTAAAAATTCATGATCGCTCTTTTAAGCTTTGCAGGCAGACAGAGTTGTGTTATTTTGATTGATTTTTCAATGACGTTTGGTTTGGCGTTTACTTCATGCAGAAGAAAGCACCAAGAAACAATGTTCATTTCAGCGTGTTACCTTGCAGTGTTGAGTAAAGGGTGCTGGGTCCCGATCAGCTTCCTGACGTGCAAGGCAACATTACTGAGTTCATCACTGAGCAGGCAGCGGAGACTCATGAAGGAGGTGGGATACCCGACGATCTTCTCCGCGTCCGAGACCACTTTGGTCCAGTTTGAGGGTCCTGAACTGGAGAACAGACTCAGGGTCCTCCGTCCTCGGCTGGACCAAGCCTTGCAAGACAGTCGTGCCCATGTAGCTGGAAACATTTTCTCTCTGACGGTGATGTTTGAGACAGCTGTTCAAAGTGCAATTCAGGTACCTGCCACCATCTTTAGACTGTATCACCAGATTCAAACGTTGTGACGTGTTCCTCAACTGTGTCGCATTTGTATTAATTATTAAAATGTATAGTTTTATGTCCTAACAGATCTAATAAACTGTCATTGAGGGAATAACTAGCCAAGTTTCACAACACACGACCTGTCACAGCGGGCCGCCATCTTGAACACGTAATTCGTTACGTTGTCGTAAAAACGTAATGACGTATGGTTACGAATGCTGATACGCCCCGTTATATGGAGAGCACTTCCGGCTGAAACCCGTTAAAAAATTTAGACATTTATACATTCCCATGTTTTTTGTCGAAGTTGCACACTGCCAGAGCAAGACACAATTAATTTATAAACTTTAGTTACCAGTGTTTCATTCGGTAAACATAATATTTACGAAACGTAACTTTAGCTTAGTGAAATATAAAATTTTATAGCTGGTTCACACCTGCCGTTACTGTCCACCGCTGGAAACGACTGTGTGGAAATAGCAAGCGCGTCAATTATTATTCTTCTAAAAGTCTCTATGGTTGTGAATGTATAAAAATATTAACTCACCAAAATCTTGTCTGTATTTTCAAGGTATATTACACAGTAGGCTTTAAAGCAATGAAAAATAATTGTTTTCTTATGTTTAAATCTGTCTAAAACATTAAATAAGTTCATTAAAAAGAATATCGCTAAATTACATTTGATAGTTTGATAGTTTGATTTGATTCATTAATTTCAAGCATTAAATATATATATATATACCGTAGAAAAAAAAACATAAAAAACCCCCATTAAATTAACAAACCTACAATAAGAACCATAAATCAACATTCCATGTCCGAAATTGAGTGGGAAAAAGTATCATGCTTGTCTAGCCCTACTCCCAATCCCAAACTATACCAATCCATCACTAATCAAGCTATTACATAATACATTATAGTCAAAATAATGCATTGTCTGCCAACATATTTGGGTCGCTATGCCTTAAAACAAAACTGTAAGATAATATAACACTCCAGGGATGAATAATAGTCATAAAACAAACCAATATTTTTTTTATTTTTAGGGCCTGGTAGGTATAGCGATTATTAGCCTACTTGAACTCTTAGTATACATAATACATGAAGATATAAGCCCAATAATCCAAAGATTTTCCAAATCTAAACTGATTTAAAATGTTTTTAAACTGTTGTTGTTTTTTTTTTAAATGAAATTGGGGTGGTTGTGGCTCAGAAGGTAGAGCGGGTTGTCCACTAATAGAAAGATCAGCGGTTTGATCCCCAGCTCCCCAGTTCAAGATTCTAAACCCCAAATTGCTCCTGAGGGTTGTTCCATTGGTGTGAGTGTGTTAAAAAAGGTGACAGGTGGCACCTTGTACGGTAGCCTCAGCCACCAGTGTGTACAAATATGTGTGTGTGAATGTGACTCATACTGTAAAAAGCGCTTTGAATGGTCAGAAGAATACAAAGGTGCAACACAAGTGCAGGTCCATTTACCATTTACCTTCAGTATAGGCTGTCCAGAACGGGGCATATATAAGAGTTAACACCAGGCAGTATCAGCAGTCTTACACCACCTATGTAAAGGAATCTGATGGCCCATCTGCAATCCATTTGCTGTGGATGTAATTATTTTCACATTTGCAACATAGCTGTTTGAGGCAGCACTTGTGGTTTTCTTTAGTTATTGATTTTATTCTGATATCTTATTTTATTATCATTATTGATAGACTGATAGTTTAAGAGCTATTCCTACCTAACAGGTTTTTTTTTTCATTTAACTGACACTGAAACATCAGTGACATTTTGTCACTGCCTTTGCCAAATAATTGTAAATTGCAAGGAAAGCGGCATGTTTCATATTAAGTCTGATTACTGCAAATCAAAAACATGCTTGGTGAGACTTTACGCCAATGTGGAAACACTTTTGGATTAAATCTGTCTCAGCTCTGTCCTTTCTCATTATGTGTTTATTTTATGGCCAACGTCATATAACAAACCACAAGTTTGAGCTTCTTGTAACTCAAATGCCAAGGTCAAAAATTATTTGAATACCAGATGAAAAAAAATTAAACAATCCATTTAAACCAACAAGTTTAAATGGTGGAAAAAAACCCCTCATGTTTCAGTTCATGCAATTCAATCCTCGGGACAATATGACAGTTCCACGGTATGAAAGGGAAATGCCCCAGCAGCGAATGGTTTAACAATGCTTTCATTGAATCCTACTCCATGTGCTTATTGCTGGACTGGAGAGAATGTCTGTCAAGGACAACTTACATAACGTGGAGCTAAAGTCTCTTTACTGAATAGATGTACAAAACAAACACACATACTGTATGTTAATATATTATATTCCAAAAGAAAACTGTATTCACCTATTCTCAGCATCATACTGTTGTAACTGGGTAAATAATCACAGCTACTTTTTGTGTCTTTATAAATATAACATTAAATTACAGTAAAAATGCACCAGTATCCACACTTGTTTAAATTCCAATCAACCATTTTAAAAATAGCCAGTTTCTTCACATATTCTTATTCACACACCTACTGCTTTTAGTGAATATCAACCCCCTGCATCACAGCACAGTGTCATCAGAAGCGGTACAGTTAACAGTATGAAGAGGGAATCTTGTGATGCAGGTGTGCTGCTGTGTTTGCAAGGCATGGCAAGAGCAGCACTGTAACACACAAGTCATCTCACCCTGACCCTGCATCATGGTTCACAGCTCCTGTTTCCGCTGATTTTCCAGCTCAAATGGGTGTCACAATGCCATGAGCAGCATCCCCTGGCACTCTCAGTGGCACTCCACCTGCCAACTCATTGTAATTTCAGCTAAAGTTGGAGGACAGCATGTAGCACGCAGATGACAGGTAAATTCATGCCCAAAGCAAAAATCATTTATTATGGATCTGTAACTGTTTCATATGCCAGTAATGACCCTGTTTTGCATTAACTGAGTGGCCCCTGGCTGAGGAAACCCACTGTAAAACATCATGCTGTGACACTGGCACAACATGTCATTTCAACATTTTTAATGAGCTCTGCAGGAGCAACAGCAAATTAAAACAACCATACAAAAACATACATCTTAATGTGTATGTAATTACATGAAATATATATACCTGAGTGTATACTGTGTGAGCAAGTGTGACTATGAGTATGAGCACAGACAGTTTCACAGCAGGCATTTTGACTTGTCATAGCAGGAAAAGCCCAGGTGAAACAAATTTAGCAACCCATGACTCAGTTCTCTTAAGTGTCCAGTAAACCATGACAGTGAGTCAGCATGCACAACACAAAGACCCTGGGACCAGCTCACCGACATAGAATGTTGTTAATGTTATCACACCTGTGACTTTTCTTAAGTGTCTGCTGTGGTTGGTAGGTTGGTATAAGCATGCATGTGTATGTTTTCCATGTGAGACATGTGCAGGTTGTGCAAACAAACTTCCCATTGACACAATAAAGACAATGTACTGCATCTATTTAAATTACCTTCAAGCAAAGATGGATAACTGAGTGGGGCCCAAAGTGTCAGGGGGCCTTCACTTGAAAAATGTCAAATGTCAAATTAGCTTGTACCAATCAGGAAGACTCAAAACGACCACAAAGAGACACAAAAGATGCATAATGACTAAAGAGAGAAGCAAAATCACCAGAAAAGTCTGTGTCTTGCTCTTATGTCGGAGAGGTGGTGGGGCTCTTTGCATATTTGTGTCCAGGGGCCCACTGTCTTATGATCCACCCATGTGTTCAATTATTTATGTTAAAAATTATAATTGATCAGTTCGAATAATGTGGGAAAACCTTTCTAAATCAGCTTTAAAAATGTGTGTTTTTTCTTTAAAACTGCTGGATTTGAGCTCTTATTTGGAAATGTGTTGAAAGTAACAAATACAAAATTGTTTAAAGGTTCAAAGTGTGATGTCTTGGGTTTAAATCTGGCTGATACGAGACCTTTGATGCATCTTTGTCCTTAATCTTCCTTATTTCTTACATCTGAACTACAGGATTCCTGCAAGGGCGTAGGTTTTGTTTCAACACTGGGGCAGACATATATGAAACGGGTGTGTGGGGGTGTCCTCCGCTGGAAATTTTGAGCATCGAGCACTTAATTTCCTGCATTCTGGTGATTTTGTCCCTTCTCTGCATCGATTTTAATTTTGTCAAAGTAAAAGTCCTCTGCTGCTTTCATGTATTAATTGTGAGGGCTATGCGTCCCCTGCGTCCCCCTGAAAATCTCCAGCTATGGATTCCTGCATCCAAAGCACCAAAATAAAAGCTGAGACACCTGTAGGTTTACTGGTGCCATGCACGTTGTTACCTGAGGGAACAACCTGATGGAGAAGAAGCAACACTCTGGGCCAAATGGAAACTTCATTTTAAGCACAAAATCAACACACCTAAAAAAGTTTCCTTTGGCCATGAGAGAGTGCTGAGCCTTTTCCAGCACTGTGATAAAGGATATGCTTTAGGCTGCACTCCTATTCTGATTGCTCGTACACAATTTCTTTTCTCTCAGCTGAGGAGACTGCCATCATCATGCTCTTGCTCCAGATGCTCCCGACTTTCCACTATCATGTTTCTCTCCTAATCCCTGCAACATCCACTGACCTACTGAGTGTGTTTAAGCAAGGCAGCACACCTGCACAGTTCCTTTGGCTCACACTGACTGCAAATGTCTTTCTGCACATGCAACCAAACGCCTAACAACTTTCAGACTTGAGTTTTGAGTTTGTGGTGTGAAAGGACAGAAACACAGAGAGACTTAATTTCATTATGACCAACAAGAGTCCCCAGAAGAACAATTGTGGGACTGGATGACTGTGTGTGTGGGCACCTGTTTGCTGCGTGCACACTGTCACCATGAGGGAGCGGCGTTAAGTGGATGTGACTGCTCTGATTGCACTCCATGGGAAAGCGAGAAGAAATAGCCTACCTCTGATCATCAACGCGTCATATAATGTTTCAGCGGACGCCCCTCCCCCTGTCTCGTTTTTTCCCCTCACTCAACCTCTCCTTTGACTCACAGAGGCGGCTCACCACTGGTGCACGGACCGTGGAGGATACGGGCAGAAGATGGCTGACTTAGCCGGGCACCGCAAGCCCTCGGCGGCATCACCAGCGTCACACGGGCCGCTGAAAAGCTGCAAGACATCCGCCGTCTGGCGACTGTAAACAGCTGCCGCTGCCTCTCTCTTACCCCCTCCTCACCCCTCCTCACCGCAAATATTGACAGAAGTATCTCAGAGAAAACATGGCAGAGATGGAAAAAGAGGGCAGACCTCCGGAAAATAAAAGAAGCCGAAAGCCAGCTCACCCGGTGAAAAGGGAAATAAATGAAGAGATGAAGGTAAAAGGGGGTCTGTGCCCACTTGCATGTGATTACGCGTGGAGTGGTTGTGAGGAGCATGCATGTCTGTTGAAGCACTAACCAGACGTCCTCAGTGAAAATATACGATACACTCAAGTGCAATTGGCTGCATGATAGTCAAACTTTGATTTATGATTTTTTTTTTTGCACCCAAGTTCTATTGTCATATATCCACGCTGAATGCCAGCCTGGGCAGCGCACCCTGCCAGTATGCCGCCTTGCACAATGGATGCGGCACCCATTCACTGCTACTATAGTAAGTTTTGAATCAATGAGAAATACAGTGTACGTTCCTGTCGCTTCATGTCATAATTTCGCCGTTTGTGTGCCCTGCCTTTCATGGCTTGTCCAGAGTTAATGGAAAATCCAGTGCGTCAGTGAAGGCGTCAACAGTGCTTCTACTATTACTATTAATACTGTTACACTACGGCGCAACGGAGGGCAGCCAATGTGCATAATTAGTAGAAATCAATGGGGGAACACTCGCCTACCCACGATGCTTTTGCGGGTCCGACGTCCGTGGGTTTGCCTCTGAGTCGAGCTGTGCGTTTGTGTTTATGTGTGTGTGTTGCCCAGCTGCCCAGAGGCGTGTGATCCAGATGTGCGTCTGAGAGCTTTACGCACTCGACAAGAGCACATTGTCTCCTGTGTTCGGCCTGCACGGTTCTCTCCCTAAATTCACCCACACGTTGTTTCTATTCCCCTTTTCTGTGATATCTGAGCCCTGAGCTCCGCGCGGTTCATTGTGGAGAAAGAAAGTGTTCCTGGCATTTGTGTGTGTGTGTGTGTGTGTGTGTGTGTGTTTGCGTGTGTGTGTGGCAGAGCTGTGTGTCCGCTTTGTCTTCATCTCTCTCATTGTTTGTACACATTTGGCTGGAGACACATATGCACTCTGCTGTTCTGGGTGGATATGCAGGTGATCACATTGTGGAAATTGGGATTTTTTTAGGCTGTCAAGGGAGAAGCGAGGGTGCTGGTTTTGAGCGAGTCCTGAAACAACCCTGGAATAAAGCCTTTTTGTATTTAGACCCATCCAAAATACCAGCCGCGTTCATGTGACACCGCTTACTGTAAAACAGCAAAAAGATAATACTGATAGCAATTTTTGACGCTTGGTTGGTGATTATCACAGAGAATAAGGAACGGGCAGTATACTACAACACTATTACATGATAATGTAGCCTATTAAAATCTATTTTTAGCGGTGTAATCCTCAGTACTGTCTTTTAGGTATTTTCCTTAAGTGCTCCACTCATCTGCATCCAGAGTTGCCCTTGCTTGTTACCTAAATTGCGTTGGAGGTGTAGAGAAAGGGAATTTCTGTCAATGACAGATTGTAAAACTGGAAATTTGTCTCAGTTTGAGATGAACCCCCCTGTTGTCTGGTCCTGATGATAGCTGGGGGGATGCAGGGTGTCAGGCAGGTGAAATTTCCTTATTTCTTATCAGGGGAGCACTTGATGTAGTCTCAGTGGAGCATTTAGACCGGATGAAATCTTTATGAGCATCATTTAGGCACAATAAAGCGCTGTCTGTCCAGGTTTTATCTGACCATTTTTATCATTACAGCAGCGAGCAAATATTACCATAAATCTATTTGGACTGTGACAAAAAAAAAAAAAATTATAAGTCTCCTCTTATAATTTATCAGATTGACTGAGTAATTATACGGTGTCAGTCATCAGTCAGAAATGATGTTTTATTTGCAGGTGAGTTTTGCTGTTGGATGATAGATGCTGTGACGCGGGTCATCATTCAGGGTTCAGTGAATCGACATCTCTTACAATGTGTTTTGCAGAGCAGACATGTCGGTTAAACATCTCATTTGATGAAAGCAGCTTCATTTGTCATTTGATTTGTAAGAACAGTGTGGTGACTGCGATCAGTCAAATTGTGGATTTGAGTTTTGAATATGAAGATGCACCTGACAGCAGGGCTGTAATCACTTATTTAACATTGTGGGGGGACCATTTTCAAACGGCACCTTTTGCAACCCAACCCTCCGGGAAGGTCTGGGGTTAATTCCCCAGGAGAATTTTTTAGAAACTCAATTGGCCATTTTAGCATTATGAAACCAAACTCTTAGATCAGGTTTTCTCAAAGTTTTGTTGACTGAGTGCCATTTAAGGGATCCTGTATGTGATTTCGGGACACAGAAAGTATATGACTTAATTATGACCTTCTTATGACTTTTTTTTTATGACAATTTGAAAAATCTGTAACAGTGACAGTGATATAACCTACATTACTCTCATATTACATTCTAGTTTTCCACTTTTTTAAGTAATCAGAGGTGGAATGTAACTAAAAACACTGTACTGATGTACAAATTTAAGGTATTTACTTGAGTCTGTTCTTATCATGCCACTTTACATTTCTACTCCACTACAGTCCAGAGGGAAATGTACTTTGTAGAGCGAGTACACCATTATCTGTATCTGTGTCTGTGACTGTTTAACAAACTAAATGATCTGTATCTGTACTCGAAAGGGGCGGAGTTTGTACCAGAAGTGGGTGGGGTTTAAATTGAAACTGGATGGGAGCCTGAAATTGATATGGTTATTTATTATTTATTTGAAAACTATTTAAATACAACAATCCCAGAATTGAGATTCAGGTCATTTTTGATTAAAGGAGTAAGAGATTAAACACAGGTACCTAAAATGAGGATTTCCCCTTATCAGATGTATATTGACACATTTTATTTGTATAGTGCTCGTATTCGTATAAAGAACGTTATCTGTTCTAGAGGCTCATTTAATCCAAGTATTCGGCTCAACCATGCTTTGTACTGTACTACATTTATTAAAAAGCCTAATAGTTACTTCACAAATTAAACATAGGAGTGTAAGTAAAAAACTTAAGAAGATTTTATAAAATATTATATTTTGCTATAAATTCAACTACCTAACAAGTACAGCTGAAACAATTAGTTGCCAACTGACTATTTTTGATTTTAAAAAAAAGGGCTATTTCAGTTATTAGCTATTTATGTCATTTTCTAATTTATTTTGAATAATTGAACTATAATTGAATAGTTTTGGGGGTGTATTTGTTTAGACTTGTCTCCATTAGGTGCTTTTACTTTTAATACTTTCGTACATAGGGTTTCCTCCCACAGTCCAAAGACATGCAGGTTAATTGGTGACTCTAAATTGTCAGTAGGTGTGAATGTGAGTGTGATTGATTGCCTGTCTCTATGTGTCAGCCCTGTGATAGTCTGGCGACCAGTCCAGGGTGTACCCTGCCTCTCGCCCAGTGTCAGCTGGGATAGGCTCCAGCCCCCTTGCAACCCCTAACAGGATAAGTGGTTACAGAAAATGGATGAATGCACTTTAAGTACATGGTCCCAATTATATTTACATACTTTTTCTTTGCAGGACATTTTCAATGCAGGACTTTTACTAGTAACATTTTCGTAGTGTTGCAATAGTACTTTTATTCAAATCAAGGATCTGAATAGTCTCTCCACCACTGAGAGTAATGAAATAGAGAGACAACAATACAGCGTTTGAAATTTATTGTATCTATCCACAGCAGTTGAGCAACGGCATCTGCTGGGGTATACGGCAACACCACTTGCACAAACCAAATGCAGAACTGCAGCACACAGTAACACTAGAAAAAGTAGCAATAATAATTATAGTAATGGCAATTTGTTAGGTTTATTTCTGATTACATTTGCTAAGGATTATTTTAAATGGCAGTTTGTGGTTGCCTGCTGAAGTGTAGCATATTTTTTTCTTTATATTTTTAACAATATATGGCAACATAAAAATGTCAGGAGTAGTAAGGCTTTTTTTTTTTTAGATATGTCAGTGCATAAAGCAGTTGATATGGTGTATTGTTGGTGTTTAGGGAAAAAACACCCTCCTCCCATGACAACTCCAGTATCTCCGTCAATACCAGGGCAAGCTACTGAATGGAGCAGCAGATGTGGTTAAGGTGTCAAAACACTTTCAAAGGCTAAACAAGTTCGATTGTAGCTCATTACGCAACCTTGAATTTCATCTCCTATTGCACAAACACACACAGGCACGCCACACATAAGCGGCTGTCTACAGATTTAATTTAGGAAAACACTGATCCACAGATAGAGGGTACAGTAGGGAACTAGCAAATAGCTGCAGCCTCTCTTTCAATACCCTCGTTGTTATTGTTACATGATGGCAGTTAATAAGCTGAATGATGTTAGACAAATATGGATGTATCTGATATGATATAACATGAGGTTATGGGTTGGTTATGAGTGCATTACACACAGATACAAGTCAGGCTGTAAACCCGAACCCAGCATGATGTGCAGCAGAGTCACAGCTAATTAACACTATGCCATGGATGCATTAAAATAGCCTCCGCCGGAACAGTAAAGCCAGTCAGTGAAGTTAGATGTATTCCTAGAGAAAACTCTCAGATTCTTCTATTCCAAGTGTTCAGTACAAAAGGACCCAGTTTGTTCCCTTCTCTCATCCTCAATATTTCAGACCAAAACACACACACACACACACGCACGCACACGGACAGACACACAATGTGCCCTTGTGAGGGATCATACTCTGAAAAACCAAACAGTCTGACAGTGTTTCCCTCATCTGGTGCTTAATGTGTGCCACGGTAAAATAAGCCCCGGTGAGTAATCAAGGACAAGGAGGAGTGGGCATGGAGGGGATATGAGAGGCTGGAGAGTAGGGTAAGAAACAGTGGAGAAAGGAATGTATACAGCGCTGGGCTGGCTAAGCTGTAAAAACTGTAACCTGAGTGTCTCTGCTGGATCAGATATCAAGGAAAGTAGAGGGAAATGAAAGCAGAGGAGAGGGAGAGGGAGAGGCAGAGGAGGAGAGAGGGAGCAGGGGAGTGGAAAAGTGGAGAAGTGGAGGAGGAGGAGGAGGAGGAGGCAAAGGGAAACTTGGCGTGTGGATTCGGGAATTTTATCACGGTGTACAGTGACCTGCTCTGGTTTCTACCCGCAAGGTATCCAA